AGTTTCTTTATGAGACAGTCATGGGAGACAGTATCAAAAGCCTCACTAAAGTCAAGATATACCACTTCCTTCCTTTCAACAAGGCTTGTTACCCTGTCAGAGAAAGATATCAGGCTGGTTTGACACAATGTGTTCTTGGCAAATTAGTGCTGACTGTTATTTATCACCTTATTAGCTTCTAGGTGTTTGCAAATTGATTGCTTGATTATTTCTTCTATTATCTTTCCGGGTACAGAAGTTAAGCTGACTGGTCTGTGTGACGCAGCAGGGAGCGGGGAGTGTTGACCTGGGAATGTGGCGGGGGAGTTTTACTGGGGATGACAGGTTTCAGAGTAGCAGCCGTGTTAGTCTGTATTCGTAAAAAGAAAAGGAGGACTTGTGGCACCTTAGAGACTAACCAATTTATTTGAGCATGAGCTTTCGTGAGCTACAGCTCGCTTCATTGGATGGGGATGGGAGACCTGAGAGCCTGTAACCTGAGCCGGGAGGGGGAGGGGAAGGTAACACCTCTGCCCAGGAAACTGGACAAAGGCTGCAGGAGAGAGCCTGCTGGGGGGTGGGGGGGAGTAGGGTTTCAGTTTTGGGCTGGGTGGTGGAACGCAGGGAACCCCAAGGCTGGGGTCTAAGCTCCCTGCCCCCCAGAAGGATTTCACTGAGGGGTCCTGGTTGTACCTACAAGCTCTGTTTTAGACTGTGTTCCTATTATCCAATAAACCTTCTGTTTTACTGGCTGGCTGAGAGTCACGGTGAAACCCAGGAAGAGGGGTGCAGGGCCCAGACTCCCCCACACTCCATGACAGTCTGTAATTTCCCGGGTTGTCCTTATTTTCCTTTTTATAGAAGGGCCCTATATTTGCCCTTTCCCAGTCTTCTGGAATGTCTCCCGTCTTCCATGACTTTTCAAAGATAATCGCTCATGGCTCAGATATCTCCTCAGTCAGCTCCTTGAGTATTCTAGGATGCATTTCATCAGGCCCTGGTGATTTGAAGACATCTAACTTATCTAAAAAAGAACAGGAGGACTTGTGGCACCTTAAAGACTAACAAATTTATTTGAGTATAAGCTTTCGTGAGCTACAGCTCACTTCATCGGATGCATCCGATGAACTGAGCTGTAGCTCATGAAAGCTTATGCTCAAATAAATTTGTTAGTCTCTAAGGTGCCAAAAGTCCTCCTGTTCTTTTTGCGAATACAGACTAACACGGCTGCTACTCTGAAACCTAACTTGTCTAAGTAATTTTTGATTTGTTCTTTCCCTATTTTAGACTCTGATCCAACCTCATTTTCACTGGCATTCACTATGTTAGACGTTCAATCGCCACCAACCTTCTTGGTGAAAACTGGAACAAAGAAGTCATTAAGCACCTCTGCCGTTTCCACATTTTCTGTTATTGTCTTTCCCCCCTCATTGAGTAATGGGCCTACTCTGTCCTTGGCCTTCCTCTTGCTTCTGATGTATTTGTAGGGTGTTTTCTTGTTTCCTTTTATGTCTCTAGCTGGTTTGATTTCGTTTTGTGCCTTGGCTTTTCTAACGTTGTCCCTACAGACTTGTGTTATTTGTTTTTATTCATCCTTTGTAATTTGACCGAGTTTCCACTTTTTGTAGGACTCTTTTTTGAGTTTCAGATCATTGAAGATCTCCTAGTAAAGCCAGGGTGGTCTCTTATCATACTTCCTATTTTCCTAGGCAAAGTGGGATAGTTTGATCTTGTAACCTTCATAACATCCCTTTGAAAAACTGCCAGGTGTCTTCAATTGTTTTTCCCCTTAGACTTGCTTCCCATGGGATTTTACCTACCAACTCCCTGAGTTTGCTAAAGTCTGCCTTCTGGAAATCCATTATCTTTATTGTGCTGTTCTCCCTGCTACCATTCCTTAGAATCACGAACTCTACCATTTCATGATCACTTTCACCCAAGTTGCCTTCCACTTTCAAATTCTCCACCCGTTCTTCCCTATTTGTCAAAACCAAATCTAGAACAGCCTCTAGAACCTTTATAATCAAATCTAGAACCTCCTCTAGAATAAAATCTAGAGCCCCCACTCTGTGTACGTGTGTGCACATCCCCCTACTCCATGTGTGTGTGCGCGCATGTCCCCTTGTACGGTGTGTGCGTGCACATCCCCCGCCCGTGTGTATGCATACTGTGACAGGGTCTGGCCAGATGGCTACAGGAAAGTAATAGAAGCCAGATATATTAGCCCCAGGCTAAGTAGGTCCCTTTTCCCTGGGTAAGGTAACAGGGAAGTTTCCAGAACAATCAGCAACCTTCTGGAGACCATTAAGACAGGCTGATTAGAACACCTGCAGCCAATCAAGAAGCTGCTAGAATCAATTAAGGCAGGCTAATCAGGGCACCTGGGTTTTAAAAAGGAGCTCACTTCACTTTGTGCTGTGCGTGTGAGGAGCTGGGAGCAAGAGGCACTAGGAGCTGAGAGTGAGAACGCGGACGGTTGGAGGACTGAGGAGTACAAGCATCATCAGACACCAGGAGGAAGGTCCTATGGTGAGGATACAGAAGGTGTTGGGAGGAGGCCATGGGGAAGTAGCCCAGGGAGTTGTAGCTGTCACACAGCTGTTCCAGGAGGCACTCTAGACAGCTGCATCCCACAGGGCCCTGGGCTGGAGCCCGGAGTAGAGGGCGGGCCCGGGTTCCCGCCAAACCTCCCAACTCCTGGTCAGACACAGGAGTCGTCGACCTGGACTGTGGGTTCAGAAAAACGGCCAAGCTGAGGGCTGCCGTGAAGCTCCAAGGCGAGCAAATCCGCCAATAAGCACAAGACCCACCAAGGTCTCGGAGGAACTTTGTCACAATACACACAGCTCCCTCGTGAGAAGCGAGTGCTGCTTCCTGCTCACGGGGTTGCCCCCTTAGCCCTTGCCCAGTGGAGCTGGATTCAAATCCCAGGGACACACTGTGGGGTCCTGACAGCTGCTCCCCAGGGACAAACCCAGCATGGGCCTCTGATTTCACAGTGTGACGCAGTGGAAGGAAATGGTGTCATCTGGTCGGGGCTGTGATGTAACGAGTCCAAAGCAGCATGCGAAAGGATCTCCCGAAGCTGGGTGATTGGGCAACAAAATGGCGGCTGAAATTCAGTGTTAAGAAATGCAAAGGAATGCACATTGGAAAACATCATCCCAACTGTACCTACAAGATGACGGGATCGCAATGAGAGATCTTGGAGTCATTGTGGATCGTTCTCTGAAACCACCTGCTCGAGGTGCTGCGGCAGTCAAAAAAGTGAACAGTGTTGGGAAAGGGATAGATAAGACAGTACATATCCTATTGCCTCTAGAGAAATCCATGTGCGCCCACTCCTGTACTATTGTGTGCAGTTCTGGTCACTCCATCTCCAAACGGGTGTATTGGAATTGGAAACGGCACAGAGAAGGGGATGGAACAGCTTCCGTATGAGGAGAGATTAAGGAGACTGGGACTTTTCTGCTTGGAAGAGAGACGACTAAGGGGGAATACCATAGACGTCTATAAAATCATGACTGGTGTGGAGAAAGTAAGGAAGGAAGTGTTGTTTACTCCTTCTCATAACACACAAACTAGGGGTCAGCCGATGAAATTAACAGGCAGCGGGTTTAAAACGGACACAAGGGAGTACTTGTCCACACAACGCACAGTCACCTTGTGGAACTTGCTGCCAGGGGATGTTGCGAAAGCCAAAACTATAACTGGGTTCAAACAAGAACTAGATAAGTTTATGGAGGGTAGGTTTATCCATGGCTGTTAGCCAAGATGGGCAGAGACGCAACCCCATGCTCTGGGTGTCCCTAAACCTTTGACTACTAGAAGCTGGGACAGGGGATGGATCATTCAATAATTGCCCTGTTCTATTAATTCCCTGTAAAGAATCTGGCACTGGCCACTCTCAGAGACAAGATGCTGGGCCAGTGGGGCCATTGGTCTGACCCAGTGTGGACAGTCTTATGTTGAGTTAAAAATAGGTATAGCTGGGAATACAACCCAAGAGTCCTGGCTCCCAACCCCCCAATCTCCGCACTAAGCTGGGCAGAGAACCCAGTAGTCCTAGCTCCCAGCTGGGCAGAGAAACCAGGAATCCTGGCTCCCAGCTCCCTGCCCCCTCAGCTGGGCAGAGAACCCAGAAGTCCTGGCTGCCAGCTCCCCGGCTCTCAGCAGGGCAGAGAGGCCAGGAGTCCTGGCTCCCAGCCCCTGCCCCCTCTCTGAGCAGGGCAGAGATTCCAGTAGTCCTAGCTCTCAGAGCCCCGCTCTCAGCGCTAAGCTGGGCAGAGAACCCAGGAGTCCTAGCCTCCAGCCAGGCAGAGAACCCAGGAAGCCTGGCTCCCAGGCCCCAGGCTCTCAGCAGGACAGAGAACCCAGGAGTTCTCAGAGAACCCAGAGAACCCAGGCTCCCAGTCCCCCGCTCTCAGCGCTAAGGTGAACAGAGAACTGAGGAGTCCTGGCTCTCAGCCCCCCCGCTCTCAGCTGGGTGGAGAACCCAGGAGTCCTGGCTCCCAGACCCCCGCTCTCAGCGCTAAGCTGGGCAGAGAACCCAGGAGTCCTAGCCTCCAGCCAGGCAGAGAACCCAGGAAGCCTGGCTCCCAGGCCCTCAGCAGGACAGAGAACCCAGGAGTCCTGGCTCCCAGTCCCCCGCTCTCAGCGCTAAGGTGAACAGAGAACTGAGGAGTCCTGGCTCTCAGCTGGGTGGAGAACCCAGGAGTCCTGGCTCCCAGACCCCCGCTCTCAGCGCTAAGCCGGGAGGAGAAACCAGGAGTCCTGGATCCCAGTGCTAAGGTGGGCAGAGAACCCAGGAATCCTGGCTCCCAGCCCCCCACTCTCAGCACTAATCTGGGCAGAGAACCCAGGAGTCCTAGCTCCCAGCCGGGCAGAAAACGCAGGAGTCCTGGCTGCCAGCCCCCCGCACACTCTGCAGGGCGGAGAACCCAGGAGTCCTGGCTGCCAGCTCTCCCCCCCCTTTCCCCTTTGCAGAGGGCGGCGGCTGGGGGCGGGCCGAGCCGAGCCGAGCGGTGCATTGTGGAGCCGTCGGAGCGCAGCAGGGGGTTGGAGCCCGCAGCAGCCGGGACCGGGACCGGGACCGGGACCATGCGCCCCCAGAGCCGGGGCAGCCAGGGGCCCAGGTAGGCGGGAGCCGCAGTCAGCCCATGGGCCCCCGCCTCCGCTGCGGCCGGGAGTGAGCGCCCCGAGCCCGGCCCTCGCGCCCCCCGCCCGCTCCGCCGCCCCCCGGCCCGGTTCCGAGCGGCACCATGAGGTGAGAGCCAGGTCGTGCGCCCGGGGCGCTTTGTCCGCGGCCTGGGGGTCCCGGAGGGGGGGGGGCTGGGGGTCCCGGAGGGGGGGACGCGGCCCTGGCCGGAAGCGGAGCCCGGAGCCACCAGATCGGCGGCGGGGGGGGGTCCCCCCTGGGAATCACTCAGGTGCCTCCTTCCCCCGGCCTCTCTCCTGCACCCACCGTGGGGGGCGGGGGACGCCTCCCGTGGGGCCTCGAGCCCCCAGCGCTCCTGGCAGGGACTTGGCCCCCCTGCGCCCATCCCCGGGCCCCCCCCCCCCCGCCCAGTAGCTGAGAGCCCTGAGGTTGGCCCAAGGGGAGCGTAGAACCCAGGCGTCCGGGACGGGGTGGGGTGGGTGTTGTGCTGCCAGCGTGTCTGGGGGGCGGGCAGCTGCGCCCCCCCCCCGGATCGCTCCTGGGGCAGCCTCTGCCTGGTTCCCTGTGTCCCTCCCCCCCCCAGGAGACCTAGAGAGGTTTGAGCTGGATCCTGTGGGGCAGGGGCTGGCTTGTCTCTGATGTCACAGCCCGCTGTGGCGGGAGTGAATGACATCACCTGCTCAGGGCTGTGATGTCATGGTTAACGACTGGCAGAGCTGGGGATAGAACCCAGGAGTCCTGGCTCTCAGCCCCCCCCCTGCGTTCCAACCACTAGACCCCACTCCCCTCCCAGAACCAGGGACAGAACCCAGGAGTCCTGGCTCCCATCTTCCCCCACAACCTCCAGACCCTGCTCCCAGGAGTCCTGGCTCCCAGCACCCCCGCCACACACTAGACCCCACTCCCCTGCCTGCACTTGGAGTCTAGCCCTGTACTTCATTGTCCCCGTGATGCTGGCTATGGATGCAGCCCCCCCGCAGGTGGTTGGGACGGGGTGTGTGTGTGTGGAGGGGGCCATAGCTGCGTCTCCAGCTGCTGGAACTTACCCTACCCTGGCTACGGCTGAGGGGGAGGAGAGATGAGGATCCTGCAACCCCTGTGCAGGGCAGCCCCCTCCCTGCCTTTGGAAACAGGCCCCCCCCAGTGCTCACAACTGTGCTTATGGGGGGGGGGTCGTCCCAGGAAAGCCCCCCCCCCATTCCTGTGCTCCGCAGCTAAGCATGCCCCCAGCTGTCTGTGCCAAGGGGGGGTTTGGGGCTGCCTGGAGGGTGACCCTCATTCCTGCACCTGGGGGCTGGGCTCAGCTGTTAGTGCTAAACATTCCCAAGCCACTGGGGGGGGGACCCAGCATGGGTGGAGGGGGGGGAGAAATGCTCCTGGTGCTTGAAATTCCTGCTCTGTTGGGCGGGAGGGGGTGGACCCGTTCCTGAGCTGCCCTTTGACCCCCAGGCCTGGGCTCCAGCAGCTGACGAGATTGAGGGTCCTGACCCCCATGAGATCAAAGGGCAGAGTCCCCAAGTCGGCTTAGAGCGATTTGGAACTGCGGGACAAACGGGGGGGGGCTGCGGGTTGGGGCACTGGCAGAGCTCGGTGGGGGGAGCCCAGGGCTGGGAGCGTCAGGAGTGAGGGGTGCTGGCAGAGTGGGGGGGAGCCCAGGGCTGGGCTGGCAGGGGGCTGCGAGTCGGGAGTGAGGGGCAGCAGGGGGAGAGCAGACTGGTATCTTCCCAGGTCTGGTGCTTCAGCTCTGTCCTGTGGTTTGGCCTGGGGCGGTGCAGGGGCCATGGGGCCGACCGTGGGGCCCGTCTGGCTTGAAGGGTGCCGGAGCCGCAGCGTCTGCATATTGCTAAAAAGCAGGAAATGGCCACAGGCACATCCTGGCTTTCCCTTCCCGTTTGTGTGTGGGGGGGGGGTGTCCCGGTGGGGGGCTCTCCACAGGCCCCTGGCCTGGGGCTGGCCTATGGGTGAGGGGCCTGGAGGCAGCCTGGGCTGCTGACCCCTGAGCTAGAGCAAAAGGAGGGGTGATCTTGGGAGGGCCTGGGGCTGTGCCCCCCAGATGGGCCGAGCCCTGGCACTTCCCTGCCCCAGTGCACTGGGGCCCTGCTCATGAACGCCAGGGCCCGACCTCCACCCGGTGCATTCTGGGATCCTGGGCACTCCTGTCTCCGTGTGCTGGGAGCAGAGGCTGCTGGGAGCATGGGGTGGGGGGGTCGCATTGGTGCTGGGAGCAGCTGCAGTGGCCAGTGCTGGTTCCGGGGGGGGGCCTGGCCAGGCTGTCTGCTCCCACCTGGGCCACAGGTATCTGGCTGCTGCTTGGACCAGGCGCTGGGGTCCCTGGGCAACAGACTGTGGGGGGGACCCCTTGGCTGCTGTCTGGCCTGGGGCAGGAGATGCTGCCAGGAGGGTCTCGTGGGGTATTCGAAGGGTGAATGAGGGTCTCCCTTCCCCCACCCCACCCCTGGTGCCTGCGGACACACCCAGCCCTACTGTGGGGTTAGCGGGACCCCAGATGGGGGCTCTCCCCATGGTGCCCTCAGAGCAGGCACTGTGGGTGGGGGTGGGGAGGGTCTGTTACACCAGAGCAGCCTGATGCAGCTCTGGGGTCTGTCCAAGTGGGTCCCCTCTGTCCCCTGACCCCCATGGCCAGCCTGGGGAGAAACCCCCCTCCCCCAGGCACTGTACCACAGCGAGCAGGAAGTGACTCAGGGTCTCACCCAGGAAGTGGGTGGGGGCTGGGGAACAGGGACAGTCCCGTGGGGGGCGGCTCCTGAACTCAGGCCCCAGCTTGACCAAAGCTGAAGCCTCTGGACTCTGGGGGTGGTCGAAGCCAAAGACCCAGGCCTGCCTTCACCCCAAACCCACACAGATGCAGAGATGGGGCCTCCGGCCGACCCCACCCCACAGGGCTGGGCTAGCAGGGGCTGCAGGGTGGGAGCCCAGGAGCAGGGAAGGTTGCCCTGGGCCTGACTTCTGCACACTAGCACGCTCCTCCCCAGAGGTAGCTGCCTCTCCCTCCGGCTTTGGTGCCTCCCTGAAGGTCAGGCCAGGCCTGATCCCAGCCCCCCACCCCACCAGTGACCAGTTGCCTGTGGGGGGGCCAGGGGATGGGTTGGGGGCTGCAGGATCTCAGCCCTTCCTCTCGTTTGTTTTAGGGGTGGGTGGGTTCCTGACCCCCCACGAACAGGGTGATGGGGGTGGGGGGCTGTGCCTGTTTCCCATCCCCCCCCTCCTCCTCCCCCCCACCCCATCTGAGACAAACAGGCTCTGGCCTTCAAACCTGCCCTTATATGGTCACAGATAGCCGCTCCCCCACCTCTTCCTGCTCCGGAGTCTGGCCCCCCCCAGGTGCTGCCTCCGGGGCTGGTGCCCCACCCCCTGGTGTCCTGGGGGGGGGGGGGGGCTGGGAGGAGCCTGTGGGAGGTTAGGCAGGGAAGCCTGGTGGTGGTGGTGGTTGGGGAGTCAGGCAGGCAGGGAAGCACGAAGGGGGGGGCGGGAATTGTCTGAGCCGGGTCTCTGGCCCACAGCCAGCGCTGCCTCAGTCCCTGGGCCGGCTGGTCGGGTGCTGCAGCTGGCTGGGACCCGCTGCCTGGTAGCCACTGCCACCACTCCCAGGGCAGCTGGACACCCCATAGGATCCTGCTGCAGATGGACCTTGTGTCCACACCCCCCCACCAGCGGCTGGGGTGGCGTTCCCCTCTTGACATGGGGGAAACTGAGGCACAGAGGGGCAGGGACTATCCCAAGGTCACGCAGCCAGTGGGGATAGAGCCCAGGAGTCCTGGCTGCCAACCCCTCCCCCTCCCATGCCCGCAGGACATTGGGAAAGACCGGTGACTGGCGGAAGTGGCTCGTGGTCAGGGCCTGTTGGTCAATTGCCACCCGGCAGACAGCCTGCGAAGCGCTCCGTGATGGGCAGTGCCGGGTGCGGGTCTCAGGGAGCCCCTGGGGTCCCAGCAGCTCTCAGGGTGCTGCTGGCTGGGGAGCTGCCAGGCTCCCAGTGTTGGGGTGTCACGGGCCGGGCAGGGAGGGCCTGGGGCACAGGGAGGAGTCAGCAGCCTGGGGCACAGGGAGGAGTCAGCAGCCTGGGCTTGCCTGGCCTCCCCTCCCCCGCAGCAGCTGGGCCAGGCCTGGGGCTGCCGCGCCCTGTTTGGATTGTGGGAGCGGCAGCTGCTTCCGCTTGGCCCGAGGGTGCTGGGGAGGGGCTGGGAGCTGGCGACATGTGTCTGCCCCCCCCCCCCCAGCTGTCGGGCACCCTGGCGCTCGTTGTGGGAAGGGTGGGGGCAGATCTGGGCCCTCAGGGCGGCTGAGCTTCCCCTTGGCCTTCCTGTGGGAGACATGCCAAGATCCCAGGTGCCCCTGTCAGGCTCAGAGAACATGGGTGGGGGGGAGGTGTCCCAGCTCCTGGGGGCAGCGGGAGTGTTCAGGGGCCTCCAGTAGCAGCGACTCAGGGTGTGAATTGGTGTCACCCCCCCCCCCCCACGCTGCCAGCGCCCTTCAATCCCGACCTGCAGCCTCCTGCAATCCCTGCCCTGCCCCCCACTCTGCCGGTGCCCCTCAATCCCGACCTGCAGCCTCCTGCAATCCCTACCCTGCCCCCCACTCTGCTGGTGCCCCTCAATCCCGACCTACAGCCTCCTGCAATCCCTGCCCTGCCCCCCACTCTGCCGGCACCCCTCAATCCCGACCTACAGCCTCCTGCAATCCCTGCCCTGCCCCCCACTCTGCCGGCACCCCTCAATCCCGACCTGCAGCCTCCTGCAATCCCTGCCCTGCCCCCCACTCTGCTGGTGCCCCTCAATCCCGACCTGCAGCCTCCTGCAATCCCTGCCCTGCCCCCCACTCTGCCGGCGCCCCTCAATCCCGACCTGCAGCCTCATGCAATCCCTGCCCTGCCCCCCACTCTGCTGGTGCCCCTCAATCCCGACCTGCAGCCTCGTGCAATCCCTGCCCTGCCCCCCACTCTGCTGGTGCCCCTCAATCCCGACCTGCAGCCTCGTGCAATCCCTGCCCTGCCCCCCACTCTGCTGGTGCCCCTCAATCCCGACCTGCAGCCTCCTGCAATCCCTGCCCTGCCCCCCACTCTGCCGGCACCCCTCACTCCTGACCTGCAGCCTCCTGCAATCCTTGCCCTGCCCCCTGACTCTGCCGGCGCCCCTCAATCCCGACCTGCAGCCTCCTGCAATCCCTGCCCTGCCCCCTGACTCTGCCGGCGCCCCTCAATCCCGACCTGCAGCCTCGTGCAATCCCTGCCCTGCCCCCCACTCTGCCGGTGCCCCTCAATCCCGACCTGCAGCCTCCTGCAATCCCTGCCCTGCCCCCCACTCTGCTGGTGCCCCTCAATCCCGAGCTGCAGCCTCGTGCAATCCCTGCCCTGCCCCCCACTCTGCTGGTGCCCCTCAATCGCGACCTGCAGCCTCGTGCAATCCCTGCCCTGCCCTCCACTCTGCCGGCGCCCCTCAATCCCGACCTGCAGCCTCATGCAATCCCTGCCCTGCCCCCCACTCTGCTGGTGCCCCTCAATCCCGACCTGCAGCCTCGTGCAATCCCTGCCCTGCCCCCCACTCTGCTGGTGCCCCTCAATCCCGACCTGCAGCCTCGTGCAATCCCTGCCCTGCCCCCCACTCTGCTGGTGCCCCTCAATCCCGACCTGCAGCCTCCTGCAATCCCTGCCCTGCCCCCCACTCTGCCGGCACCCCTCAATCCCGACCTGCAGCCTCCTGCAATCCCTGCCCTGCCCCCCACTCTGCCGGCACCCCTCACTCCTGACCTGCAGCCTCCTGCAATCCTTGCCCTGCCCCCTGACTCTGCCGGCGCCCCTCAATCCCGACCTGCAGCCTCCTGCAATCCCTGCCCTGCCCCCTGACTCTGCCGGCGCCCCTCAATCCCGACCTGCAGCCTCCTGCAATCCCTGCCCTGCCCCCCACTCTGCTGGCACCCCTCAATCCCGACCTGCAGCCCCCTGCAATCCCTGCCCTGCCCCCCACTCTGCTGGCACCCCTCAATCCCGACCTGCAGCCCCCTGCAATCCCTGCCCTGCCCCCCACTCTGCTGGTGCCCCTCAATCCCGACCTGCAGCCTCGTGCAATCCCTGCTCTGCAGCCCGCCTCTGCCGGCACCCCTCACTCCTGACCTGCAGCCTCATGCAATCCCTGCCCTGCACCCCGCCTCTGCCGGCGCCCCTCAATCCCGACCTGCAGCCTCGTGCAATCCCTGCCCTGCCCCCCACTCTGCTGGCACCCCTCAATCCCGACCTGCAGCCCCCTGCATTCCCTGCCCTGCCCCGCACTCTGCTGGTGCCCCTCAATCCCGACCTGCAGCCTCGTGCAATCCCTGCTCTGCAGCCCGCCTCTGCCGGCACCCCTCACTCCTGACCTGCAGCCTCATGCAATCCCTGCCCTGCACCCCGCCTCTGCCGGCGCCCCTCAATCCCGACCTGCAGCCTCCTGCAATCCCTGCCCTGCACCCCGCCTCTGCCGGCATCCCTCACTCCTGACCTGCAGCCTCCTGCAATCCCTGCCCTGCCCCCCACTCTGCCGGCACCCCTCACTCCTGACCTGCAGCCTCCTGCAATCCCTGCCCTGCACCCTGCCTCTGCCGGCGCCCCTCAGTCCCGACCTGCAGCCTCCTGCAATCCCTGCCCTGCCCCCCACTCTGCTGGCACCCCTCAATCCCGACCTGCAGCCCCCTGCAATCCCTGCCCTGCCCCCCACTCTGCTGGCACCCCTCAATCCCGACCTGCAGCCCCCTGCAATCCCTGCCCTGCCCCCCACTCTGCTGGTGCCCCTCAATCCCGACCTGCAGCCTCGTGCAATCCCTGCTCTGCAGCCCGCCTCTGCCGGCGCCCCTCAATCCCGACCTGCAGCCTCCTGCAATCCCTGCCCTGCCCCCCACTCTGCTGGCACCCCTCAATCCCGACCTGCAGCCCCCTGCAATCCCTGCCCTGCCCCCCCACTCTGCTGGCACCCCTCAATCCCGACCTGCAGCCCCCTGCAATCCCTGCCCTGCCCCCCCACTCTGCTGGTGCCCCTCAATCCCGACCTGCAGCCTCGTGCAATCCCTGCTCTGCAGCCCGCCTCTGCCGGCACCCCTCACTCCTGACCTGCAGCCTCATGCAATCCCTGCCCTGCACCCCGCCTCTGCCGGCGCCCCTCAATCCCGACCTGCAGCCTCGTGCAATCCCTGCCCTGCACCCCGCCTCTGCCGGCACCCCTCACTCCTGACCTGCAGCCTCCTGCAATCCCTGCCCTGCCCCCCACTCTGCCGGCACCCCTCACTCCTGACCTGCAGCCTCCTGCAATCCCTGCCCTGCACCCTGCCTCTGCCGGCGCCCCTCAGTCCCGACCTGCAGCCTCCTGCAATCCCTGACCTGCTCCCCACTCTGCTGGCACCCCTCTATCCCGACCTGCAGCCCCCTGCATTCCCTGCCCTGCCCCGCACTCTGCTGGTGCCCCTCAATCCCGACCTGCAGCCTCGTGCAATCCCTGCTCTGCAGCCCGCCTCTGCCGGCACCCCTCACTCCTGACCTGCAGCCTCATGCAATCCCTGCCCTGCACCCCGCCTCTGCCGGCGCCCCTCAATCCCGACCTGCAGCCTCCTGCAATCCCTGCCCTGCACCCCGCCTCTGCCGGCATCCCTCACTCCTGACCTGCAGCCTCCTGCAATCCCTGCCCTGCCCCCCACTCTGCCGGCACCCCTCACTCCTGACCTGCAGCCTCCTGCAATCCCTGCCCTGCACCCTGCCTCTGCCGGCGCCCCTCAGTCCCGACCTGCAGCCTCCTGCAATCCCTGCCCTGCCCCCCACTCTGCTGGTGCCCCTCAATCCCGACCTGCAGCCTCATGCAATCCCTGCCCTGCACCCCGCCTCTGCCGGTGCCCCTCAATCCCGACCTGTAGCCTCCTGCAATCCCTGCCCTGCCCCCGACTCTGCTGGTGCCCCTCAATCCTGACCTGCAGTCCCCTGCCAGCCTAGCCCTGCCCCCCCACTCTGCCAGCGCACCTCACTCCTGACCCGCAGCCCCCTGCCTGCCGAGCCCTGGCAGAGACGGGGCCATAGATGAGCCGGGGTGGGTGGGGCAGGCTGGAGCTGTCTGGGCAGGCCACAGGCAGGATGCTGGGTGCTCCCCCTCAGCTTCTCCCTGCGGCCCCTTCCCTGGCTGTTGGTGCCCCCCCTGCCAGCAGGGCCCATGTGCAGGGCGGCCGGCCTCGCGTGACTCGGTTCCTGTGCGGTGGCCTGGCCTGGCGTAATCTTTCTGCAGAGGAAACCCCCAGCCCCCGCCCTAGCGGCTGGTGTCTCCTGGAGGGTCAGCCAGTGCCCCATGGGGCTGGGGGCCTATGTGAGGCTCTTGCGGCCTGCTGGAGTGATACCAGCGATGGCAGGGGGCTCGGGGGAGGGGGGGGACGCTCTGTGTACAGTGGGGGTGGGGAACTGCTCAGCAGTGGGGGAGGCCCACGGCCCCAGGATGCACGTCCTGGGCGGACACCCTCGCTCGGTGCCCGGCGGGGCTGGGGCTGTGGGGCTGGGAGAATGGCTGAAGGTGGAGGTGCCGCTAGTTCCCCTGGGCGCTGCTGTGGGCCGGGGGCAGGGCAGCAATCTTGGGGGGGGGGGGGGGGGGGCTTCTGTGCCCAGGGGTGGGACGTTCCCTCCTCATTGGGCAGCCTGGCTTCGGGGCCAGGAGCTTTGAGGTTGCAACCCCAGGGATGGTCTCTCTGCTCCCTGCCCTCAGTCAGGAGGGACCTGGGCCTGCTTCTCTCTACCCCCCCCCCCGGCAGTGTGTGGGGGGGGAAAGGGGTGTCACCTGCAGGGGGGGGCGCTTCTCCCCCTTGGGATCCCACCACTGGCACCTGTGCTGCCTTCAGCACCTCCCGTCCCCAGGACCCAGCAGGTACAGGGACACCCAAACCAAACATCCCCTGGGCTGGGAGTGGGACCTGAAGCCCTACTTGGGGGAGGGGGGGGGCTGAACTACATCAGGGGGCTACTTTCCAGCCTCCCCAGAGAGGGGTCCCCCAGCTGGCTCCCACCCACACACTTTGGGGTTTGGGGGCTGTGAAGGTTCCTGGGATTTTGTGACTGATCCCACCAACTCTGAGCTGGGGGGGGCAGAGCCGGGATGCTGGGGTTCTGGGGGGGGGTCTAGGGGTTAATGTGGGGGGGGGGATGGGAGTCAGGACTCCTGGGTTCTGTGCCTGACTCTGCCATTCCATTCCCCTCCCTGTGCCTCAGTTTCCCCTGTACAGTGGGCTGATCCCTGTCCCCTGGGGTGCGGTGCCCCCCTGAGTGTCTGGGCCTGGAGTGCACTGGGGGTTCCCCTGGTGCTAAAGGGTGAGCTGCCGGCTGGGCTTGCGGGGGGCTCAGCTGGTTCACTTTGGCGCGGGGAGGGGCCTGCAGGAGCTCCTCCCTCCACGTTCACCCCCTTCTCCCTCCGCAGCGAGACGGTCGTCTGCGCCACCCGTGCCACGGTGATGCTGTACGACGATGCCAACAAGAAGTGGGTGACAGCGGGGAGCGGCCCCCAGGTTGTCAGCTGGGTGCAGATCTACCACAACCCGGGCACCAACACCTTCCGCGTGGTGGGCCGTAAGATGCAGTCGGACCAGCAGGTGTGGGGGCTGGGCGGGGAGGGGGGCCCTGGGACCAGCCAGGCATCAGGGGCTCAGGCTGCGCCCCAGGAGAGGGGCTGTCGGAAAAGGTGGCCCCAGAGCCCTGCACCCCCTGTGATCTGTCCTTGTGGGAGTCCTGGCTGGGGGGGAGGGGGACTGGATCCCCCTTGGGTGAGGCAAAGCTGGGCATTGTGGGGCTGGCTCTCCTGGCCAGTGTTCCAGTCGTCCTGCCCCGGTTCTCCCCAAGTGCCCTGTCTCCAGAGTTTGCAGCTTGTCCTGTCCCCTAGGCTGCCTCCCCCTCAGGAAATGTGTGCTGGGCCCTGACCTGTGGGTTTGGGGCTCATCCTGGGAGCCCCCCTGCAGAGCTGAGGACTGGGTGGCCCAGGAGCTGGGCGGGGGGGGGGGACCTTCTGCAACCCCCTGCTATGGGAATTGTAGGCTTCCCTCTGGTGCCGGAGGGCACTGCCAGCCCCTCGTGCTGTGCTTGGCAGAGCCGGTGCCAGGACTGGTGGTCTGGGCAGGGGCAAGCCAAATCATCCTACCCTTGATGCTCTCCCCCGCCCCCCCAAACTCAGGTGAGAAGCCAGGGGTCCTGCCCCCCCATACCCCCCCTCCAGAGCTGGGGTTGGAAGAACCCGGGGGGGGTCCTGGCCCCAGCCCCTCCTGCCCTCTGAACAGGGACATCCCCATACCCAGGCCAGTCCCTGGGTGGCAGCTGCTCTTGTTTGTGTCTCACCTCCCCCCTGACCCCCCCCCCCCCCCCGTGGCCTTGGTATGGTCCTTGGGGGGGCTGGGATCCCATGGGCCCCCTGCTGACCCGGCTCTCTACCCCCCCCCAGGTGGTCATTAACTGTGCAGTAATGAAGGGGATGAAGTACAACCAGGCCACACCCAACTTCCACCAGTGGCGTGATGCCCGCCAGGTCTGGGGTCTCAACTTCAGCACCAAGGAGGACGCCAACCAGTTTGCCAGTGGGATGCTGCTTGCCCTGGACCAGCTGGAGGCGGGTGAGCGGTGCCCGGCCCTGCCCCCATCGCCCAGGGGGTTGGGCACGGCTTGGGTGGGGGCTCAGGCTGGAGATGTGGGGGCTTGGTCCCACCGCAGTGCCAGGGTTTGGGGGGCTGGAGGGCGGGTCGCCCTGTTGGAGCTGTGGCCGGGGGGCCAGCGCTCGGATCTCTGTGGGGGAAGCTGGGGGGTGGAACCTGTTGCTGACCCCCACCCCCATTGTGTGTCCCGGTGCAGGCTTGGCTCCGTCTGGGCCACCCCAGAACGGCCCCTCCCCAGATGAGATGGAGCAACAGAAAAGGTATGGTGTCTCTCTCTTCCCCTTGCCCCCCCCCCCCCACCTGCGCCCTCCCACCAGGTCCCCCACCCCCTTCCCAGACCTCTGGTGGGCTTGGTGGGGTGGGCAGTTGCAGGGGCCGTTAGCAGGAAGGGTCTCTCAGGCTTGGGGGGCGAAGGGGAGTCAGGGTGGCCCCGGGGTGGTGGTCGGGGGTACAAGGCACCTTCCCCCATCCCATCCTGGGCCCCTCGGTGAGGGCTGCCCAGTTGCTGACGCCCGTGCCCCAGGTGATTACTGAAGTGACCTCTCCCCCCTCCCCCTCCCCCCCCGGCTAAGCCCCCGAGCGGCTGGAGCGGGCGCTGCCGGCTCAGCCCCTAATCGGCTTGCGGCTGGCGGGGCGAGCGGCTGCCCAGCATGTGTGGGTTCGTGGTGTCAGGGATCCTGGACCCGGGGTCCCCCCAGGCCTCGCCACGCACGTGAGTGACTGGGGTGGGGGGGAGATGCCCTGGGGGGGTCCCTGGGTATTTGTCCCCCCCCCCCCCTTCCAGTTCTCACCCCTCTTTGTCTCCCAGGCAGCAGCAGGAGCAGGAGCGCCGGGTGGCCAGTGCAGGTGGGTAATGCAGTGGGGGCAGGCGGTGGGGAGTCGGGGGGCAGGTGGCCCAGCTCCGGCACTGGGAGTCGGGATTGGTCTGTCGCACACGATCGGCCCCCCCCCCCCCCCCCCCCCCCAGCCATATCTCTAGCCCCACAGGACTGCGCCCATGGGAGCGTGGGGGGTGTCTCCCCACCTCTGCCTCAGCCCAGCAGGGTTGCTGCAAGTGGTGGTGTTGGCGGGAGGGGGGTGCCTCAGGGATTTCAACAATTCACGTAGTGGGATTAGTTCTGGGTGCTGGGGGAGGGGGGTCGCGTGGGGCCCCCAGTCCCCAGGGTGGTCTTGCCTGGCTAAGAGGGTCCCAGTGGCATCTGCTTAGACCTCTTCTCCTCCCCCCCCCCCCCCCCGGTGCTCCAGCTCCCTCTAACCCCCCTTGGTCTTGTGTGGCAGGAGCTCCAGCGACCCCTTCGGGGGGAGGCCCCCCGCCGCCCCCAGGGCCGCCACCCCCGCCAGGGCCGCCTCCACCACCCGGCCTGCCCGCCACTGCTGGGGGGCCACCCCCTGCGACTGGGGGGCCACCTCCCGCCCCTCCTCTGCCTGCTGCACAGGGCCCGGGGGCGGGAGGCGGGGGGGCCTCCGGCCTGGCAGCTGCCATCGCAAGCGCAAAACTCAGGAAAATCGCCAAGGTGGGTGGGGAGGAGCAGGATTGGGGCGGGGGGGAGTGGGGTGGGGGCGGAGTTGGGGGGAGGGGGGGGTTGGAAGAAGGTAGGGGTCGGGCGGCCCCAGCCCAGGCTGGGTCTGGCGCTGGAGGTGGGTTGGCCTGTTGCGGGGCGGGGGTCCCTGCGGAAGGGGGGCCCAAGGCATCGAGCAGGGCTAGAACCGGGGAGTGTGTGTGTGTGTCTGTGGGCTAGTGGGGGAGGGATTGCGGTGCTGGGCCTGGTAATGACTCTGCTCCCTGTCCCCCAGCAGCAGGAGGATGGCGCTGGGCCGGCGGGGGGCAGCCCCAGCCCCGGGACGGCCCCAAAGAACGAGGCCAGCCGCGGCGGGGGGGGCGGGGGCCTGATGGAGGAGATGAGCGCCATGCTGGCCAGACGGTGAGGGGCGGCAGGGTGTGTGTGTGCTGGGTCTCCATGTTGGGGGGGGGGGGGGGCAGGGGGATCTGTGTTGTGGGGCTGGGATGGTGGTGGTGGGGGACGGGGCTGTGCTCTGGGAGGCTGGGGGCTCTGTGCCGGGGGGTAGGAGGTGCTGCCCTGTGGGTGTGGGGCTGGGGCATGGGGGGAGATCCCAGACGTGTCCCCAGTGCTGACTCGGCCCTGCCAGAGGGTCGGGGGCTTGCTCGAGAGGGATCTGTGCCTCCTGGCCGGGGGCGGGGGTGGCGGCTCTCGGGGCGGGGCAGGCCTGGGTGGGCGCTAACCCCACTCTCCCTGTCGCCCCCCACAGGCGGAAAGCCACGCTGCCGGGCGAGAAGCCTGGGCCGAAGAAAGATGAGGACATTTCCAGCGTGAGTGTCCTGCCCCCTCTCCGTCCCGCGGCCTGTTCCTGGGGAGGGGGCAGGTGGGCTGGGGCCTGGCCAGGCTTGGCGGGGTCTGTGCTGAGTCCTGGATCTGCCCAGCAGTGCAGGAGGGAGCTGGCCCCACTTCTTGGGGGGAAGGAGATTCCCCTGGGGCTCCTTGGGGGGAGAAAGGGGAGCTCGCCCAGGGCCACAAGACCCACTGACACCCCCCCCTTCGTTCTGCCCCCAGCAGCAAGACACCGCCGAACCCTCAGGTACTAGGACCTCGAGCCTGCAGAGCGGTGAGTGTGGGGGGGCCCCGGCCAGCCCCAGAGACCCCTGTCTCCCAGCATGCCCAGGGGGAGGACAGGTGGAGCAGGGCATGCTGGGAGCGGACTGAAGGGGGGGCAGGGGAGCAGGGGACAGGCAGCCCTTCACCTGGGCATTGTGCTGCCTGGCACTGGCTGCGGGGGGAGGCCCACGGATGGGGGGGTGGTTCACACCTTGGACTCTCTGCTGGGGTGGGGGGGGCTGTGTGTCTGAGGGGCCCCCCCTCCAAATTCCTCTCCCCATGGACCTCCCCAGTGAAAGCGCTACGCACCCATTTCTCCCCTCTCTTGGCAGACTTGGTGCGGAGGCCCTGGGAGAAGAACAGCTCCACCCTGCCCAGGTGGGTGCTGCCCGGCTGGGCCATGGGGAGGGTGGGGGTCCAGGCGGCTGGAGCCAGGAGGGGCCGGGCTGGGCCGGGGGTCTGTCTGCCTCTCTCTTCCCCCCAGGCATAGTGAGACCCAGGAGAGCAGAGAATCCCCAAGTCCCGCCCGGAGTAGCACCAGCCTCTCGGGGTAGTGCCCGGGCGTGGGTTGGGGGACCGAAGCCATGGGGCAGATATGGGGCAGACTGAGCGGTGGGGGGGGGGCACTAGGCCTTGCTCCAAGGGAGGAGGAGGTAGGTATCCTGGACACAGGGGCTGGTGGAGCAGGTGGGCCCCTGGAGGGAAGTGTGTGTGTGTGTGTGGGGGGGGGTGGATGGGGACACCATGGCCAGGGGCTTTCCGGCTGGGCAGTGGTGCCAGGGCCCAGAGCTGTCCCTAGAGCTGGGCATGGGGCTGGCGCGATGCAGAGCCCAAGGCGCAGGGCTGGGTAGGGCTGCGGCTCCCTGGAACCGTACCCGCTGGGCAGCAAACAGAGCCACACCGCCTGGCTTGGCCTCCCCTGATCCTTCTGAATATCTCCTCGCCTTGCTGCGCCCTTAGCCACGGCGTGATACCTCAGGCCTTCCGTGAATATCCCCCCACCCCAATTGCACGTGGGGAAACTGAGGCACCAGGCTTGGGAGGGACTTGCCAAAGAGCACAGTAGCACAGGTGGGGAAAGAGCCCAGGAATCCTGATGCCCCTCCCGTAAGTGGGCTGCCTGTTAACTCTGGAACCTAATGCTGTCTGTGTGTCACCCCAAGCTGTGGAGCCCCCTCAGTGGGAAGGCTCTCGGACAGGGGTGGGATCCCTGCCAAAGAGGGACATAGAGCCTCGTGGAGCTTCTCACCCCTAACCCCTGCTCCGTTCTCCCTCCTCCCCCCCCCCCCCCGCCCAGGATGAAATCAGCTGCCCCCAGCAGCACAGAGCCCCCGGCCAGCACAGATGAGTCCGGCCTGGAGCGGATCAAACAGGTACCAGGGTGGGGGAGGAGCCAGGAAACCCAGCCCTGGGGTGACATGGGGTTCGTTCCTAACCCTGGGACTCTGCTCGGTGACTGGAGCAGGACCCCATGACCCTGAGCATGGAGGTGGGGGTCTGGATTGGGCTGTTGCTGGGGGGAGGGGTGTAGGGGTGGTGGTGCTGGAGGTGGAGTTTGCATGGGGGGGCAGTGGGAGGGGGCTGTGCAAGTGCCCGGTGTTGGGGGGGAGGCATGCTGGGGGCTGTTGCAAGACTGTATGTGGGGAGGCATGGGGGGACACTGGGGGGAAGAGAGGGTGCCAGGGGGCAGGAGTGGCTGTGCACAGGGGATGGTGCGGGGGGGTGTTCCGGGGGGGAGGGGTGCCAGAGGAGGGAGCAGGGCTGTGCGTAGGAGGGGGTGCTGGGGAGGTTCTGGGGGTGGGGCTGCATGTGAGGGGGTGCCAGGGGAGAGGGGCAGGGCTGCACGCAGGGGTGGTGGTGGGGGAAGGGTTGTACACGAGGGGGTGCAGGGTGGGCCGTGCCCCCTAACGCTGCACCCTCACCCAGGAGCTGCTGGAGGAGGTGCGCCGGGAGCTGCAGAAGCTGAAGGAGGAGATCATCGAGGGTGAGCCACCTGTAGGGGTCGCTGGGCTCGGTTCCTGCCTGCTTGGTGCGGGGGGCCCGTGGCATGAGGGATCCAGGGGGAGGGGGGTGTTCTCTGTGCGCGGCCCCAGTCCCCTGCAGATGCCCCAGCTCCCGAGCAAGGGCTGCTTCAGCTCGGAGCCCCCTGGCTGCTTCCTGGTGGCCGTGGGGCCGTCTGGCCTGGTATGTCTTCCCCTCTCCCCCCCATCTGGCTCCTGGACACTTACCACCCCCCCCCCTTCTCTCTCTGCAGCATTCGTCCTGGAACTGAGGAAGCGGGGCTCGCCCTAGCCCCCCCATCCCACCTGGCCGGCGGTCCCAGGGCTGCCGAGGCTCCTGCAACACCCACGGGTTTATCGTCTTTGACACGCGCCCCGCCCCCTCACACTTGAAGCCCCTCCCCCATGCACCCCCTCCTCCGGCCGATGGTTACCGGGGCGCCAGCCCCACTGTGCAATTCCAGGGGGTGGCCCAAATTCCTGGAGATTCCCCCCTCCCCCTTCCCTCTGGGGCTGCCCCGGGAGCTCCCAGGCTGTGCCTTACCCCTGGGGCAGGAGCAGAGCAATAGCACCCCCTGCAGGCTGCTGCCTACCAAAGGGCCCCTCCCCCCCAGACAGCAGGGCTTGGGGGGGTCTCTGGGAGGAGTCGGCGTCGTTCCTGCCCCCCAGGAGCAGCTGCAGAGCTGCCTCCCCCTGGGGGCCTGGCATGATGGAGAGATTCCCTGAAACACCCCTGCCCTGCCAGGAATTGGGGGGCCGGGGATCCCCCCCCACCAGTCCCGCCCTGCGCCCACTCACTGCTTCCTGGCCCCCAGCTCTGCTGGGTTCAGCTTATTTTATATTTTTTTACACGGGGGGGGAGGGGGAGTTTTTTTATCTTGGGGGTGGGGGCCCCCAGCTGGGCAGTGACAGGAACTGTCCTGAGGGGGGGTTGATCCTTTACCCCTGGCTGGGGAGGGGCAGACTCTCCGCTCTTTTCTATGCGGCTGTTAATGTTCACTTTATTTTTTTGGGTTGTTGGTTTTTTACTGATTTCTGGGGCATTTGTGCCCAGTACCAGGGTGAGATGCTTTTCCCCTCCCCTGCGCCGTGCCGCCTGGCACCGGGCCCCCCCACCTGGCACCGGGCACGGACCCTTGGTACCCAGTTCTGGAATAAACCTTTCCTTTTTGTAAGTTACACTCCTCCCTCTGTCTCATTGCAGGGCAGGACGCCTGGGTTCTATCCCTGGCTTGGGGAGGGGAGTGGGGGCTGGGGGTTAGAGTGGGGTGTGGGAAGGGGGTTCAGGGGTCACAGCAGGGCCACTAGGCTCTACTCAAAGATAGTTTGTGCCTTTATGGGGGGGTGGGGGGGCTGCATCAAACCCTCCCTCCCACCCTGTGCCAAGGGGGGACAGAGGGGCTGCTGAAGTTCAGCGTCGTTGCCTGAGCGACACCCCAATTATCCCCCACCGAGCGCCTCACCAGCCCCATCAGCCAGGGCTGGGCCTGGGCCCCCCATACGCCCCTCAGCATCCTCTGCCTGCTGTACCCATCCCCCGGGCTGGCAGCAGGGCCAAGCGGGGCACCTGGGCCCTCCCAGAGCTGCCCGTGCCAGATGCCTGCCTCGGAGCCCCACTCACCCTGGCGGGGTGAGAGGAGGGGGATAGCGGGGGTTGGGGGGGGTGCACCTGGGGCATTGCTGCAGCCTCCAGCCAGGCTGGGGTGCATGGGGCGGGGAGGCCACAAAGGCTGGGACTAGAAGAAATTCCAGGGGCCCTGAGGGGAGTGGGGAGGGGGGGGTCAGGGCAGCCCCAGGAGGCTGCGGGGTTGTAACGGCCATAAAGGGGATCCCCGCTCTGCCTGGAACCACCCCCAGCACCAACAGGGGTGGGAGGTGGGGGGGCCCCACTACAACCCAGCTGTGGCCCGGGCAAAGGCCTGGGGAGGGGTTCTGCCCCCCAACACCCTCCGCCTCGGAGCCAGGGGAAGCCAGGTGCCTTGTCACCGCATGGCCTTCTCATTAAGCACTAGGAAGGGTGGGACTGGGGTTCGGGGGTGGGAGCAGGGAGCGGGCTGGCCTGGCTCCAGGTGGGGGTGGTGGGGTGTAGGGCTTTGCCAGGGACACAAGCTGGGCTGTTGCTGGAGTCGTGTCCCCCCCACCCCCCGAACCTGGCCACCTGCAGGCAGTCTCAGGCCTGGACCAACTTGGTGGGGGAATCCATCTCCCTCGAGGGCTGGGGCAGGGGAGCAGGGCCCAGGGCCCTGACTGGGGTCCAGCACCTCCTGCTGCCCAGGAGCTGCCATTGCTGGGCAAATTGCAGGGGTGATGCCATTTTCGTGCCTGCCCTCACCAGGTGCCAGCTGGCAGAGACGCACAGCCCAGCCCCCGCCAACCTCTCCCTGCCTGGCCAGGCCTGTCCCACCCCCTGCCAACCTCTCCCTGCTTGGCCCCAGCCAGGCCCACACCCAGCCACCTGAACTCTGCCCCCTGGCCAGGCCTGCCCCAGCCAGCACCCCCTCCCCACACACAGTTGTGGGGTGTGACTAAGTGGGACTGTTCTTAATGTTTCCTCTGAATAGTATGGGGGTGCCTCAGTTTCCCTTATGCAGTTCTTAAGTGTCTAGGTGGTGGGGTAAGGGTGTATGATCGTTGCAGAGCCCTAGAGGGCAGGTATGTGCAGGGGTCTGGATACAGAGAATGGCCAACACCCTGTTTCCTGACAACTGATGGCCTGGGCCCTTCCCCCCTGCAAGGTGAGAGCTAAAGGGTTGGAGAACAAAGGAATCAGGTAACCTCCTGCAGGAAAGGGGAAAGCCCAGAGGAGGAGGGGCTGGAGGGAGTTTCACTTTGGGGCTGGCTGGAGACATAGAGTGAAGGGCAGACATGGTTGTCTGGTTCACTGGCCCCCAAAATGGACCCAGCTGAGAGGTCCGGTTCTCTGCACCTGCAAGCTCTGTTTTAGACCATGTTCCTGTCGTCTAATAAATCTCTGTTTTACTGGCTGGCTCAGAGTCACGTCTGACTGCAAAGTTGGGGGGCAGGACCCTCTGGCTTCCCCAGGAGCCCGCCTGAGCGGACTCGCTGTGGGAAGCGTACGGAGGGGCAGAGGAGGCTGAATGCTCTGAGGTCAGACCCAGGAAGGTGGAAGCCGTGTGAGCTGTTTGCCCTGCAGACAGGCTGCTCACAGAAAGGAGACTTCCCGAGAGTCCTGCCTGGCTTCATGGGGAGCAGTTCCAGAGCATCGCCCAGGGACTCTGTGACAGGTGGGGATGGGGAGCGGGCAGCTGGTCCCTAGGGCTTCACTCCAGCAGGGCAGCTGTCAGCCAGTTTCTCCAGGCCCAGCCATGGGGTGGGGGGTCTGGCAAAAAGTTATCCTAAATCTGCCTGCCCTAGCCCTGCTAGTTGCGGGTGAGGGCCAGCAGAGCTGATGTGCGGGGCAGGTCCCTGGGCAGGGTGCTCCCATAAGGGGCACATGCCCTGGGCATGGCACCCCCCCAATAACTGCTCAGAAACCAGCCCCAGGCCTCTGAAGCAACTGCAACCAGGACTGACATCTCTCCCTCCAACTCTCAACCCCACGCTGCCCATCAAGCAGGACCCTTCTTGCTCAAGGCCCTGTGAGCAGGTGTTGCCCCCCACATGGGCCGCATGGCCAGCAAATGGCTTCCCGCCAGCAGTGCCAGGGGGCTCTTGCTAAGGTCCAGAGTGGTGGGGCTGACAGGGCACCTGGGTTCTGTTCCCAGGGCTGGGGCCCCGCACTGCCCAAGCCCTCGGCACCGTCCAGGGCCAGTGTGGGCCTTTCCAGCACCCCTTCCCCCCACCCCAGAACCGGGCCTCCCCAACATCCCTGCCCCCTCCCCAGCCAACTCCCAGAACCAGGCCTCCCAGCCCCCCTCCCCATGGCTCCTCCCCCTCCGGGCAGAGCCAACCTAAGGAAGCTGGTTCAATCCCTGGACCAAGCCAAGGATGCCTTCGCTAACACCAGCCACGGGGGAATCCTGGGGGAGCAGCCCCACCTCTCTGGGCTAGGGCAGAAAGTGTCCAGGGCAGCCCCTGCCCCTGCTAGACCAGCAGCAGGGCCTGGCCATGTGGGTCCTGTTGGACTGGAGGAGCTGGGGGGCCCTGGGCCTGCATGGAAGGGGGGCGCATAGAGACCTCCAACCCCTGCCCCACTGCATTAATCAGCTTTGCCCGTGCAGCCCCACCCAGTGGCTCCCCCTAGGAATCACTCTGGCCAGGCTGCCCCATGGACTGCGCCCCATGGAGTGCACCCTCGGCCAGGCACCCGGAAGGGAGGTGGCTCTGGCTGGGCCCCCTGCTGCCCGAGCCATGACAGGCCCTAGGGAAGGGGCCGATCCCAGACCACGGGGAAGGATGAGCTGGGACCAGTTCCACTTTCTATGGGAGCCCCGGGCCCAAAGGAGTGCTGCTGGCAGACCTATGGCTCCGCCCCTTTTTCCCAGCCCCGCCCCAATCATGGCTCCGCCTCCTCAGCAGCAGGTGGGTTTTAATGGATGACTATTTACACTGTAGAAAACTCAAACTCTGCAGGCGCGGAGGCTGGTCATGAGCCGGGACCCCCCAGCCCACACGGGGGGCCTGTCTCGCTCGCTTCGTCCAGCGCAGGCTCCTCCCGGCCCAAGCCAGCTCTGCGCCCTGGCACCGGGGGGCAGGGCCCACACGCGCCAGGCTCCTCCTTGGCAGCCTGTCCCGGGGGGGCCCCTATTTCTTGGCACTGGTGGAGACGTCCAGCAGCAGGCGGTTCACCTCACGCAGCTGCGCGTCCAGGGTCTCCACGGCCAGGCCCAGCTCGGCCACCTGCTCCTGCAGGCCCAGCAGGGTGCTGCTCTGCTCCTCCTCCTTCCTCCGGGTGTTGGAGGCCTGGCGCGCGTACTCCAGGAAGATGCACAGGCCGCCCACGCCGAAGACGATGGCTTCACCCAGCAACTCCGCGCCCAGCTCCGCTGCCGCCTCCTCGTTCAGGGGCTTGATGGTGGCGCCACGGAAGCCCATGATCCGCATCTTGGTTCGCATCTCGACCCAGTGGTACACTGCAGGGGGGAGGGGCATGAGTGGGGGGGCTGCCAGCCCAGCCCCCCGCCGGCCCGGCCCCGGGCCCCCCATAGCCCTGCCGGTGCCCCTCGCTCCCGACCCGCAGCCCCCTCCGGCAGAGCCCCGGGCCCCCCATAGCCCTGCCGGTGCCCCTCGCTCCCGACCCGCAGCCCCCGCCGGCCCGGCCCCGGGCTCCCCATAGCCCTGCCGGTGCCCCTCGCTCCCGACCCGCAGCCCCCCGCCGGCCCGGCCCCGGGCCCCCCATAGCCCTGCCGGTGCCCCTCGCTCCCGACCCGCAGCCCCCGCCGGCAGAGCCCCGGGCCCCCCATAGCCCTGCCGGTGCCCCTCGCTCCCGACCCGCAGCCCCCCGCCGGCCCGGGCCCGGGCTCCCCCATAGCCCTGCCGGTGCCCCTCGCTCCCGACCCGCAGCCCCCTCCGGCAGAGCCCCGGGCCCCCCATAGCCCTGCCGGTGCCCCTCGCTCCCGACCCGCAGCCCCCGCCGGCCCGGCCCCGGGCCCCCCATAGCCCTGCCGGTGCCCCTCGCTCCCGACCCGCAGCCCCCCGCCGGCCCGGCCCCGGGCCCCCCATAGCCCTGCCGGTGCCCCTCGCTCCCGACCCGCAGCCCCCGCCGGCCCGGCCCGGCCCAATCAGGGAGCTGTGGGGGGGCGTGTCAAGGGTCACTTCACGGCTTTGCTTTGTGGGTGCCTGTTCACTGTGAGCCGTGGGCCCGCCCTTGGGCTCCGCCTATTGGCCCTCTGGACCCACGCCCCGCCCTCAGTCTCCAACCATTGGTTCAAGGGACCCCGGTTCCGCCCCGCGCCCCCATTGCCCAGCTATGCTCTTTGCCCCGCCACCGCAACAATCCCATTGGCCTGCAGAGATCCAGCCCCGCCCCCGCATCGCCTCCATTGGCCCGCAAAGCTCTGTCCCGCCCCCGCATGCGCCCCGTTGGCTCCCTGTACTCGCTGCCCCGCCCCTCCGGAGCCCCACTGGCCTGTAGCCCCGCCCCATTGGCTCAGCGCCCCGCACGCGGCCTGTCACTCACGCTGCGCGGGCGGCCCGCAGACGTAGGCCCGGAAAAAGGGGCTGGCGCGAGCCCCTGCCTTGATGCGCGCGGCTAGGGGCCGACTCAGCTGCCGCACGCC